ATTGTTTGGCCATTCCCTGAAAGGATCATCTCCCAGGGTGTTACTGGTCTGAGGAGGCTGAGAGATGCATGAAGCCCACCTCTATCTGACATATAGACTTGTAAGCAAGAGCAAATGATCATTTTAGGCTATTGACTTTTGGAGTGATTTGCTAAGTTGTCTTAGTGTGGTAATGGTTAGCCACACCAATAATTGTGATTAAAGTGTGAGTAGAAAGAGATTTAGAAAGAAGAGCCCCTGACACACTAACCTTCAGGGATGAATACTTCATGAGCTTGTACACGATATTTGCTTTTTGAATTTTCATTCTTTCAAGATATTTGTGCTCTTCCCCCTGGAATACTTAAGACCAGAAGATTAGCACTGTGCAGAATCTCTGAGTATATGTCAGAATTGTATATAAGAGTCATTGTGTAGGAAATTAATTTGTCCCTCATTATCTATGGGTGATTGGCTTAAAGATCATCAGGAAACTGAAGGCTGATAATGCTCAAGACCCTTACAGAAGATGGTCCAGTACCTGTTTGTAAGCTGTGTGATCTTCCTATATACTTTGAGTTGTCTCTCGATCACTTCTGGTACATAATACAGTGGAAACGCTATATGAATAGTTGTTACACTATCTTGCTTAGGGAATGATAACAAGAAAAAAGTCTGTACATGTACAGTAGTGATGCTGGGAAAGAATAAGAAAGGCCCAGTTTCCCAACCATGTTTTCCAACTTTAATAAGAAGCAGTCTTGGAAAATGGGTCTTCTCTAGCTTAATTTATTCTGTGAAAGGGAGGGAAAATGGGGAGGCCTATCTTAAGTTCAGGCCTTTATGAAATGGCATCATGACCCTGCTGTGAAAAATTGTCTTGGGTACAAGCCTCCAAGCCTTTTGGCCTATAGACCTAAACTCAAGAGAGCTTGATTCACCCTTCCATCAGGTGCCTCACTACAGCCTCATCCCCTTGGACTCTTGCACCGCCCATCATCAGGCTGCATCTGTAGAGGAAACACAACTTGTGTCTTTAAAATAATCCCTTTTATGTTGGAATTTTAAAAAAGTAAAACTTTCTAGCTAGGAGTCCATTCACACATTTTTAAGTATGCCTTTAAGTATGTCCGAAAAGGGACACAATTTAATCTGCAGCCGGGCTGCACATCAGACTGAGCTGGGGAAACAATGATTACTGATTTGAGGATCACGTTCCAGCTGTAATTGACCAGGACATTTGGGTGATTTTTTGAAATCTTCCAGATGGTTCTGGTAATGCAGCAGTGCTGGGAAAAAGGGAGCACGGGTCCCAAAGGGAGTTTCCTGAGCACACACAAGTGAGTGAGAATCTGTTGCTTATTGTCTCCTAGTGCACAGTGAGTCAGTTTATGAGTGCCAAATCCTTGTTGGACTTCTTGTCAAGTCACAAAAGGGCTACTACACCCATGAACCATTTTCGTATATTTCACTAGTTCTGTCTTAGTAAAAATGCTTGGCTTTAATTAATGCCTTTAATTCCAGCACTTGGGAGGCAGAGGCAGGCCGATCACTGTGAGACTGAGGCCAGCCTGGTCTAGTCTACATAGTGAGTTCCACGCTAGCTGGGGCTACAGGAAGACCCTGTCTCAAAAAGACCAAAAAAAGTCTTGATTTCAATTCTAAATGCAATATCGACTCACACTGACATCCCATGGAAACAGCCAAAATAGGATTAATCTGCTGTAGTTTTCGAAGATTTCCATTCTAGGTTTTGGTTTTTAAGGTGTTCCGTTCTTCTTCTTGTACCACCTGCCCCTACCTATCTATCGTTAATCAACAAGCTGGCTCCACTTTATATTTTTGTGAGGTGGGGTGGGGGGTGCCAAATGGACACAGAGGAATTATTAGGATACAAGTCCCTTATCAGCAATTGTTATGGCCCAGTATAAAGAAAAGTTTGGCAACCTGTCAGAGAACACTGACAGATTCAGGATGAGTTTCTTGAGTGACTTTTGAAGGATGTTATTGTAATACTAACCCACTGCTCTACCCTTGATAAAGAAAACAAATTATTAAGAAAATAGGTGATGTGTCAGCTACCAATACCTGGCAACATGATGTTCAGCTACCCGGAGAAGATGTAATCCCTCATGTGGACCCCAAATGGGACCTTGAGAATTCCATCTCAGAACTAGGGCTAGACTAGAATATATGACCTGTGTTTCTAAAGGAATGAAGAGCTGTTAAATCAAGCCTGTCAATTATGATAATGTTAAGGAGGTAACAGGGAAAGGAACAAAACCTCACAGCCTTCTTGACCCTCTTCTCAGGGTGGTCCTGAAAAAAACTCCAGCATTGCTCCAAAATCAGTGGAAAGAAAAGCTTTAATGGATAAGCATTTTATTTATGACACAAGCTGCTCCAGATTATCTAGAGGAAGTTATACAAGCTTGAGGTAGAATCCAACCCTGCTGCCTACACTAGTAGAAGCCTTCAAGGCTTATAACCATAGAGATCAGGTGGAAGAAATGAGACAGCTAGATTAGAGAAAACGATGAAGCTTCTGGCTGCTCTTGAGTGCTACCCCAGGGTAACCCATAAGGTCCCTGAAGATCTACAACTAGCTCCTAATAGGAGTTGTGTCACCTGGGTTAGAACCAGTGTACATACTGTAGAAGGTCGTCACCCCAGAGAGGGTCAGTTGAGTGACACTGTACATCATGAATCATGTTCAAACTCAAGTGAAGGCCTGGTACCCTTAAAGGGGGATGTCATGACCTGGATTGAAAAGGCCCGAAGAACTGTCAGACTTTACCACACCCCACAAACCATCACTGTAACATCAGCAGAACCTTAAGTAACCCTTGACATGGCAGGCAGGAAAACAGAATTTTATTAGACACCAAGTTTCCTACCCTGTTCTGACTCAAGTTCTTAGCTCTCTTTCCAATGTCAGTTGTACAATGAGAAGTAGAAATTGGGCATCCCAAAGTAAGAAGTTTTACTTTTCCCTCCAGTTGACAGCCTTTCTATATGTCTCTATCGCTCTCTAGAGGGAACATATACAGGTTTCTGTAGAGTTAGAAGAGGATTAATCCACTCAGTCTCTTTGATAATCCCAATTCTAAACCCTAATACATTGCTAACAGATAGTCCATGAAAATACAGCTTGACTCTGGAACTGCTTATGAAATTTCTTGAGGATGGACTCATTTGACCCTGCCACTCCCCTTGTCGGTAAAGAAAGCTGATGGGGGTTGGGGGGGTAGAGAAATGGCTCAATGGTTAAGAACATTGACTGCTCTTGCAGAGAACCCAGGTTCGATTCCCAGAACCCACTGTTAGTTGGCAGCTAACAACTGTTGTAACTCCAGTTCCAGGGGATCCAATGCCCTCTTCTGACCTCCATGGGCATTGCATGACACAGGTGCACTTATGTGCATGCAGGCAATATACTCATACACGTAAAATAAAATAATAAAATAAAATAAAATGATAAAAAATAATAAAATAAAATAAAATAAAGCTGATGGGAAATACCATCTAGGTCCTTGGGTTCCAATACTTAACCTAAAATCTGAATCCATTCAGAGCCATGGTATGTGTTTGCCTTGTAGCGTGTTCAGGATTCACTGAAAATTACTATGCTTACTCAGGGATTTAGGAACAGCCTCCATCTGTTTGATAATATTTTGGTACTAAGAGAACCATCTCTAAGAAATCAGACTCAGCTACAAACATAGATGAGTTCATGATAACACCACTTATCAAAGTTCGGAGGACAATACTGTAGCTTCCAGATATGGTAAACTAATGGTCATGCATGGTTGCCAGGATGGGAAACATGACCTACAGGCCACTAGAACAGTCAATGAGAGATATCTATGCTTCTAGTCTTTGGCTGGCTAGCTAGAGAGAGAATATCACCATGACCTCCTAAAATCAGATATGATAAAAATCTCTTGGGGCTGGGTGTAGGATGAGACAAGATTAAGAAAGGCCTGATTTCCCAACCCTGCTTTCCATATTTAATGATAAACAGACTTTATAGGATAGCCCTATTTAAGCTGCTTGCTTCCATTAATGCTCACGAAGGGACTTTCCTGCAGCTTCTGTATGCTCAGAATGCACAGCTCTGAGTGCTCCCAGTGTGTCTTTCACGAGCCCCTCAGACTGTGTAGGCTTTCCTTAGAGAATGACTCAGGGACCCTACTCTGGGTGTCATCTCCTTTATGCCTAAGCATGTCTCACCAAAGCCTCACTCGGATGGAAGTGCTTACTTCTTCAAGAGTTCAACCTTGAAATGAACAAAAGAACCTAAGGCAGAGAAGCACAATAGCTTCCCATGAGTTGGGGCTCACACCAGTGGAAGGCAAACAGGTACCATTAAGAGCTGGGTTGATGGGTAATACTAGTAATACTTTCTTTTGCTATTTTCCATCCATGATTGGTTGAACCTTTACATCCAGAACCACTGGATGCCGAGGGCCAACTATTGTGTAGAAAAAGTTCTCTGAAGCGTGAAATAAGAAGATACTTTGGCTTTTGATGATTCATTGACTTGGTCATTTATTTAATGAATGGGAGCTGGGGGATAGAATGGTGAATAAAATGAAGCAGAGAGCTCACCCACATGGGATTTACATGTGTTTAATAACGAATGTATTGAGAACAGAGCCAGAGAGAAAAATGCAGAGTACTAGGCTGGGAAAGAGGTTCAGTTTTATACAGGGGGTGAGAAAAGGCCTCACCAAGAAAGTGGTGTGTGGGGCATATTACTAAAGAGACATAAATTTAAGATTAGAACTTCCATTCCAGGCTGGTCTGTAGGAGGTGCTCTAGGAGTTTAACATGAGGCATGTTCATAAACACTGTCACAGGGAAACACACACAAATGGCTGGAATTTTCTCATTTAAAAAATCTAGGCTAAAATGTTCCCATTCTTAGGGACCATGTCAAAATCCTGCCCCTTCTGCAAAGCATTCTTCCTGTGGGAGCTCATGGCTCCTCCTAGTGACCCCTCTTTCTCTTCTGCTAGGTTACAAGGGGTTGGATCTCAGATTGCCACTTTCTGTGCCCTGTGGAAGATGGTGGGAAAAATGCTTCTCTCATGTGTATTGATAACTGGGGTCTCTTCATTCACCATGCCACCAGAGGAGCACACAGGAGGAGATTTTCCCTTCACCTCTCCACCAGAGGCGCACACAGGTAAGAGGCAGAACCTCCATCTGGGAAAGGGCTGGTCTTGGCTTCTCCAGGGAACATAGGCATCTAGTAGAATTTTGTTATCAGAAAGCAAGCACTGAATATTCACGCATTGGCAACTGGCAAAAGATGCCCTTGCCCATTGTCTTTGCTGTGTTCTGGGTGTTGATCATTCCTGCCAAGGAGAAAACCCAAACATGGAGAGTTTACCCTTATTCAAAGATACCTTTTAACTGGAACCACATAATCTGTCAGAGCCAACCCCTATCATCTGATTTTAACAGTGTTCTCCTTTGTGGTGTGTGTGTGTGTGTGTGTGTGTGTGTGTGTGTGTGTGTGTGGTGCGTCCCTCAGGTGTCCTGGTCCATTATTTCCCAGCCTTACTATCTTGAAACAGAGTCTCTCACTGAACTCGGTGCTAGACTGGGGTCCAAGCAGTCCTCCTGTCTCTGCACCCCAACAGCACTGGAATTGCAGGCACATGGAAGGCCATGCCCAGCTGGGAATTTGAACTCAGGTTCTCATGCTTGTATAGCATGCACTCTTACTGGATGTGCTGTCTCCCCAACTCTCAGGTGTTTTCTTTTAACGTCAACAAATGAAAAATAGGGTCATATTTTAAAATGTTTTTCTCATCACCATTTGAATTTGATTTAAGCGCCCCCCTCCCCTGCAATGGAAATTGAAATTGATGGTAAGTAACCTTGTCATTTGGGAAGTCTGATGTCATAGTAACACAGAGTGTTCATGGACCCTGGTTCAGGTCACTTTGTATGGGCCATAGTGGCATCTTACTTAGTTGTGCTGTGTGTCTTCCTGTCAGAACAAGTCTCAGCCTGGGGACTTAGATGGTACTGTTATCTGAGCAGTTCTGGAACTTAAAACCTATTATCTCTGACCTGCAGTGCCTGGAGACAACTGTCGATTTCGTGGCAGAGAGCACAAATCAGAATACAGGCTGGAAGGGGAGCCTGTGGTTCTGAGATGCCCCCTCGCATGGCCTCATTTAAAGGCCTCTGCCATCTCCCATACTCTCCTGACCTGGCGTAAAACTGATTCTCCTCAACTGATCCCAGGAGACGAGCCAAGGATGTGGGTGCAGGATGACACCCTTTGGGTTCTGCCTGCTATGAGGCAGGACTCTGGTATTTACATCTGCACCCTCAGGTAAGCTCTGCTGGGACTTGTGCACCATAGCTCCAGGAGGAATGAACTCTTGTCAAGTTGTTCAGGGACAATCTGGACTTCAGAATCTACTGCATTATATGTTCTTACTTTCTGAATTATCCCTCACTTGGAGTTTCTCATAGCTCCCTCCCTCCTGCCATTGGCCTTTGCTCAAATGTCTCTTCTTTGGGGAGAATGTCGATAGCCAAGTTAAGTGAGAAGCATTGTTCTGTTCTCTCTCCTTACCCTGCTGTTATTTTTCTTGATAGTGTTTTTCCCATCAGATACATCTGCATGTGTGCAGGGATTTGACATTGTCTGCTATCAGGGAGGGCAGGGACTTGCTTGCTTTTTTCACTGATGATGAATCCATGTGGTAGGGAGCAAGAGACAGAGGGAGAATTCTCAGTAGGATTTTAGAGTGTGACGCAGTTTTAGGAATAAGTTTATCCCACTGTTTCCTTCCTGAATGAAGGAAAGTTCCCCCAGGTGAAGGGTGGCAGAATTGACAATGGAAACCACAATTCTAGACCAATCCTTCCTATTTTTTGTACTTTTTTAAAAGATTTATTTTATTGTTTTAAATTATTTGCATGAGTGTCTCTCTATGTATGGGTATGTGCACATGAGCGCAGGTGCTAGCAGAGGCTGGAAGAGAGAGCCCGGATCCCTAGGAGCTGGAGTTATAGGCAGTTAGGTGCTGGGGACTGAACTAGGGTCCTCTGCAAGAGTGGTATGCAGCCTTAATTGCTGAGCCATCTCACCAGGCTCCTGTTTTTCTATATTGTTGTAACATACATAGAACATAAAAATTACCATCTAAGCACTTTTAAGTGTACAGCTCAAGTACATTAAATATGTCCGCATCGATGTGCAGCCATCACCACTGTCTACTGCCTGAACAGAAACCCTGTCCTTACTAAACTGCAGCTCCCCAGTCCCTCCTGACCCCCAGTTCCTGACAATCACAACTCTAGTTTCTGCCTCTGAGAGTCTGACTACTCTAGATACCTCATGTAAGTGGTGCAATATAGTATATGTCTTCCTATGGCTGACTTATTTATAGCATGATGCCTTTTAAGACTTATCTGTATTACAGCTTGTGTTAGAATTTCCTTCCTCTTTAAGGCTGAGCATTATTATTCCATAGTACATATATACTGCATTCTTTTTGTTCATTTGTCTACCCATCAATGCTTGGGTTTGTTCTGGCTATTTTCAATAGTGTCATATGAATATGAATTTGCTCAAATTCCTGGATCATTTGCCACTTTATGCTTAAGTTCTAAGGTACCATGGAACTGTTTTCTATGGTGTCTGCACTGTTTTCCATTCCATTTCTGTCTCTTTCTCTACGATCTTGCTAATAGTTGTTCTTTTATTTTTGTAATAGCCAACTTAACGGGGATGAAATGGTGGTTTTGAAGCATAGTTCCTTAATGATTAGAGGTGCTGATATTCTCTGATGTCCTTTTTGGCCATTTGTGTATCTTCTTTAGAGAAATGTCTATTCAAGTCTTTTGCCAATTTTTAGAATTGCATTGCTTTTGTCATAGGAGTTAATGTTTACCCCATATCAGCCCTATGGCTTGTGGATATCTCATCCTTGTGATTTGCTTATTCACCCCAATGAATAAGCTTCCAAAAGCTTATTAAATTTTGATTAATTCAAAATTATGTATGTCATATCCCGGAGTGGTGGCGCACGCCTTTAATCCCAGCACTCGGGAGGCAGAGGCAAGCGGATCTCTGTGAGTTCTAGGCCAGCATGGTGTGCATAGTGAGTTCCAGGCAAACTAGGGCTACAGGGACACCCTGTCTCAAAGAGACCAAAAAATACTTTTAAAAAAGGTGTCAGAAAATCATGGCCCAATCCAATGTTATGAAGCTTTCTCCTCATGTTTTCTTCTTAGAATTGTATAGATTTAACCCTTATATTCAGGTCTTTCATATGTTATGAGTTGAGTTTTGCACATAGTGTGAGGCAAGGGTCCAGCCTAGTTTTTGTGTATGACTCCCTGGCTTTCTCAACATTATTGAAAAGACTGCCCTTTTCATGGTAAATGGTGTTGACTTATCCTGCGGCTTCTTGAAGGGTAAAGTTGTAGGTCTCATGTTGATGATCTTAATAGTTTCCTGGCTCAGTTCTGAAGGGATCAGGGTACACCCTTGGCCAGTTGGGGAGTAGCTTCTCTCTCCAGATGGCTCTTCCCTAGGCCTTGCTCCACCCACCACCTGGCTTTCCAGGCCTAAATCTCATTAGCTCATTTAAGGAGAAACTTCCCAGGAACATTTTCATTTAGAAGCAGACCCAGAGAAGGTGACAATCTTAGCACAAGGGAACTGTTGGTGAATAGAGGAATTTCAGACAATGTCAGCCCTAGTCCTAGGTGGGGCATGCATGAGAAGAGATGGGTACATTGCATGCATGTGTTTGTGGCGCTGAACATTTTTCCAAATCAAGTCTGACTTGGCTGTACCATCTATATGCCACACTCCCACTATAAATAATTTAGGGACAGGTTCAATCTTGACAATGAATTTACTGAGGAAACTGGCAAGTGGACTCATTTCTGTATTAGGGAAATTTGAATATCTGATCTTACAGCAGTTTTAAAGGCCACTTTTCTTCTATGCTTTCTTCATTGTGCAGAGTGAAAACAAATCTAACTTTCTCTGTGGAACACTGCCAGGAAAACTGAATAGTGTAGTAGGAGAAATTGATCTTGGAAAAGAAAGACATAGCTGGGAATCTTCACCCCTCAGTTTCCATGCAGATATTCAAGTCTCAGTATTCTTCCCTGGAAGGAGTTCTGCTGAGAGGGTTAGGTAAGCTCTCAGCTTGGGAAGGATCTGGTGTGGGAGAGGCATGGTATTTGGCAAATATGAGTGCGGGGATGCTTTCTGTAGGCAGCCTACAGGGCTACTGATGTGATGAGTGTGGACATGCTTTCCATAGGCAGCCTACAGGGCTATTGACGTGATGTGCAAACCTCAGAGAGAGATGAGCAGAGGTATGTTTGCCTAATAGTTTTCATACTGGATTAAAAAATTATAGTTAATGCTCTTCTTTTTGCATGAAAAAAAGGAGAGCTGAGATTGAGGGGGCAGTAGGAACTCTAGTGTGTCCAAGCTTTACCGGCATGGGGGGAGGTTTGCCTTCTCTTTCAACTGTGTAAGACTGGGCTTCGACTAGAGTGAGCATCAGCAACAGCTGCTCTGACACACTTTGTATTCACAGTCATAGACATGAGACTGTTCTGCTCTGATATTTTTATAGTCTTGTTATCTGTAATCCACATGACCTTTCTGTCATTCAGTATGGTCAAGGTAATGCTGCCAAAACAAATGATCTCTAAATCTCAGTGTCTTGTCCTGGGGGAATTACCAGATCAATAATGTGAACAAGTTTGGGACTCGATACATCTAGCAAGCTTGATTTCCAGAGATTTCCCCTAGTTTATGGGTGTTTCCAGAACCCTCGATTTCACCTCTTAGTAACTATATAACATTAGGAAGTTTCTTAAATTTTGTACCTAATTTCATTTATTTGAAAATGGTATGATAATCACTCCTACTTCACAGAATTGGAAAATGTAATTATACACACACACACACACACACACACACACACATACACACACACACACACCACTCAGTTTAGGACTAACTTGATGCAACTAGCTACTGTGAGCACTCTTCAGACTACTAACTTGTATCTCTTCAACTTGTGGTGTGTTTATGCATTTATTTGGCAAGTTCATACATGTATATACTAATGTTTGATTATTTTCACACACACACACACACACACACACGCTTACCCTCTTTCATCTTCTCTCTCCCACTGAAACCTTCTTCCCACAAGCCCCTTCCTACTTTAATGTCTTCTTTTGTGTGATGACTTACTGAGTTTAATTGTGGTTGTTTTCATGAGTATGATGGGGGTTATTTGCTGCAACATGGATAATTGATCAGTAGAAATGACATCCTCTCTCACAGCACCCATTAACTACTCATAGTCCCTCAGAGAGGAGTGGGCCTCAGGACCCCCCCTCCCTGGGCATTATAAAATTGTGGCAGGTGTAGTCTTACGCAGGGATTGTACAGTTAACCACAGCTGCAGTGAGTTAATGAGAGCAACGGCCATGTCATGTCCAGAAAGCAATGTTTTAAGGCCCTTTTCCCTACCTTTCTCCCTTTTGCCATGGTCTTTGAACTTTGGAACAGGTGATATAGATGTCCTGTTTAGGGATGAACACTTCACAGTCACTTATTCACAGTTTGATCAGCTTTGAGTCTCTGAATTAACACCACCCACTGCATAAAGAGGCGTCTTTGATGAAGGCTGAGAGCAGCACTAATCGATGGATATAAACATGAATATTTAGAAGCCAGTTTGATATCATATCCATTTAGCAGAACAATAGTAAGTTCTCCCCAGGGCCTATGACCTCCCTAGTGTTGGAGTCTTGATCAGGTTGATAGTACCAAAAGTTATCTCCTGTTGGGGCAAGGAGAGGGGCTCAAATCCAATCATAAAGTCGTTGGTTACCTCCACAATAGTCATACCACTATTGCACCAGTGGGCATATCTTGCCAAGCAAGTAGTTATGGTAGTTCATGGCATCCACAGTTGGGTAGAACTACTGATCATTTTGCCCCCAGCAGCTTGCACAGGCTCATTTTGTACACAGTTGTACAATCTGTCATGAGTTACTTTTACACCACATTAAACTAATCCTATGGTCTCAATTGATATGTTGCATATCTTAGGTAGCTAGTGTCTTCACTGATATAATTACATTTTTCTACTTTATTTTTTGGGATGCCAAGGATTAAATCTAAGGCCTCATGCACGCTAAGTACATATTCACCTACTGAGCTACCTTTTTGTTTTTTCCATTGCAAACATTAAATTTAATTACTACCTTCTGGTCTTTCATCCATTTCTCCCTATGTCTCCAGTAAGATTCTGCCTTTGCAATTTTCTCAGTTCTAAGAGCTTGAAAGAATTATAATATTGGGATTATGAGTCAGCTAACAAAAGAGTGCAAAAGTGCCTTAACAAGTTAATTCTCACCCGCCATGCAGTATTGCCAAATTCTCTTTTAGATCTAACATTAAGGTCTTGGCAGTTTCCTGAAACTAGTTGGTGAATGATTCTTAAGGGAATGGAAGGGGATTTTCTTTTTACGGAGACAGTGGCTTTCGGAAAACAGTCTATTTGGATATGGTTCTTTGGGATCAAGGCCCTGGGGACCCTGACAATTTTAAGCTGCTTGGGACTTGGGGTTTCTCAGTGGCTTCAGCACTAGAATGAAGCTTCCTCAGGACCCTTTAGGAAAAGCAGTGGACACACCACAATTTCTGGACAATAATTCTGATGACATACTTTTTGTATCTCAAGAATTTAAGAACAACAGTGGAAAAACAATACTAATCAAGAAAATGCAGACAGAATTTAGTGGGGTTGGAGAAATTAATTGCTCTTAATTTCATCTAGATTTTTCTATTTTTGCCTTATCATGTATTGCCTTTTTTTTTTTTGACAATTAGAAATGCATCTCACTGTGAGGAAATGTCCATCGAACTCAGGGTTTTTGAGGGCACAGATGCTTCCCTGCCACTCATCTCATACCTACAAATTTCAACCGTGTCAGTCACCGGGTTATTAGTATGTCCTGACCTGAAGGAATTCATCCCCAGCAAAAGTGATGCGAAGATACAGTGGTATAAGGTACACATCAATGCATGCATGTCATTAAGACATTTCATTATTTTTATTTTATGTGCTTGAGTGTTTTGTCTGCATGTATGTAAGTGCACGATATATGTGCAATGTCTGCAGAGGCCAGAAGAGGGTGTCAGAGTCCTTGGAATTGGAGTTATGGATGGTTGTTAGCTGCCATGTGGGTGCTTCCTCTGGAAGAACAGCAAGTGTTCTTAACTGCTGAACCATCCCCCCAGCCCCAAGACATGTCTTAACTGCCCTAGAAAACATACATAATACCTGTTTTCAAGACAACATATTCACACATATATAATATATTTTTACATATAAAAATATCAATATTAATTAAAATGTTTATCATAGTATAGTGTATTAGTCCTTCCATGACTTGGGTAAGGTTCCACAAAACAATGATTCATGCAGACAGAATCTGAAATGATTCCAGAGTAAACAGCAGCAACAGAGCCTTTTTTATTATTTTATTTATTATTTTTATTTTATGGGTATGAGTGCATTGCCTGCATGTAGGTAAGTGCAATGATGTCATGCAACACCCATGGAGGACAGAAGAGGCTGTCAGATCCCCTGGAACTGGAGTTACGGACAGTTGTTAGCTGCCATGAGGGTACTGGGATTCGAACCCAAGTCTTCTGCAAGAACAGCCAGTGTCCTTATCCACTGAGCCATCTCCCCAGCCCCACGAAAGAGCTTTTGACTCTGTCACTTATCTAAAAAAATAGGAAAAAAAAATCCTGTTAATTTCTATGACAATATTATATGCATGTTAAAGAAATCTTTTAAAAAGCACACGGTAACTTTTAAAGAAGTAAATATAGGCACAATTTCCCCTTTGTCTGGTATTTTAATGGTTCTTAAGGAAGTTATCAGACATCCTTATACAGAGCACATGATACACGGGCACATGATAGCTTAGAGTCAAATAGAGCTGCCACTTGCCTTTGTATAACTCATACACTGACATAGTTTTCACTTAAGTGTTTGAAAAAATTTAAAGAATACTTCAGAGCATGTGACTGTAATCTAAAGTTCAAACTTCAGTATCCGTAAATACAGTTTTATTGGCACACACAGCCATGCTCACTAGTTTATGGGCCATCCACGGCTGTCTCACTGCACAGTTGTGACAGAGACCATGCAACCATTATGTGATGGCCCTAAAATACGTCCTATCTGGCCCTCACCTGAAAGAACTTGCTATCCTCTGGCACTGATGGTAGACCAATCCCAAAAAATATAGTATTTGTTTAATCATTAGTAAGAATTAACCCTTTAATCACTGATAGGTTAACCAGCTGACTTGTGGTATTATAGCTACAAAATACATATATATATATATGTAGATGCACTTATATACATCATATATAGAGAGATGCACTTATATACATCATATCAGTGTAATATTGGAAACTTTGAAGTGATTTTCTGAAAGGAAGAATGTAACTGCTCAGTACCCGTAAGCTGGGTGAGCTGGGGAGGGCCTTTTCTTGGTTTAGAAAGAGCATGCACAAGACAACTGAAAGACCTTGTGTGCAGAAGACAGACCATACAAAAAGAGTTTGCATTTGAAACCTTGTTTCTTTTAGTTTGGTCAAGTGAGTTCCCCTCTTGAACCTGTTTCTGCTGTGAAAAAGCAATTAGTAATTCCCACTGCCAGGGATTGTTTTGAAGCGAAAAGGGGATGCACCTGAGAGCGCTTGACATCTAAGTGGTGCTTAATAAACAGGGATATCACGGTGGTGTTAACAAAATTTGGTTCTTCTATAATCATGCTAAGCATTGCTGAGTGTGTACTGGTCTGAGCCTGTTCTAACCTCAACAAGCAGTTTAATGAAGCGGAGACAGCTGAGCCCTCCCCTTGGCAGATGACTGGAAACAGAAGGAACCAACCCAAGGTCTCACAGTTGCTAGAATTGCTACAGTGCTTGGCCCTGTTTTCGTAGTTGATTACCCAAGCTAGGAATCATGAATTTCTCCCTTTAATTATGCTTTGAAGCAATATTCTATGAGCTATGTGGCTGCTTCAGTTTTGCAAGACTTGAGGTTGTATTTGATTATTGTAAGCCTTGAGCTTAAATTACATTTTCTTTCTCTCTTCTCCATCTCCTCCCTCTCTTCCTCCCTTCTTCCCTCTCTTCCTCCCTCTCTCCCTCTCTCCTCCTCTTCCTCCTCTTTTTCCTCCTCCTCCTTCCTTGTTTTTGTTAGTTTTTTTTGACAGGGTCTCTCCCTGTAGCTCAGCCTGGCCTCAAAGTCTTGATCCTCCTGCCACAGCTTCCTGAATACTGGGATTATACACCTGTACCACCATGCATGTGTTCATCATGGTCTTGAAAGCAATGTTCCTGAGCACATGGTGTGGTCACAATTGTTTTCTTAAATTCTTTACTGGAGGCCTTTGCTCTCTATTTTACAGAGAACCCATAGAGCTTTCCTTCTATATGAGAATGTGGATTTATCTTTCCTATTTAGTTTTTACTTACACAATTTTCTCTATGGTAATAGCTCCTAACATTGAAATGATTTTTAAAGAAATTGCTACAGTGTTATCTCTTTTGACTCTTGTTCTTCATGTCCCTCAAACTATTTAATAGTGATTTTACAGCTAATGGCCAATAGAAAGCAGTTAGGTCTTACGTATATTTGTATTTAAATGGCCAATATTTCAAAGTTAAGTTAATCTTTAAAAGATATGTTAACGGATTCCTTTTCCTAAACTAGGGACACATATCTGTAATCCTAGCACTCAGGAGGCTAAAGCGTGAGGATCAAGAGTTTGAGACCACTTTGGGAACACCGTGAATCCTGTTTCAAGAAAAAAATTTCTAAAAATACAGTTAAAAGTGTTCCCCAAATGGACTGGTTAAGATGATTCAGCAGTTGGGAACACTTACTGTTCTTGCAGAGGACCTGGGTTCGATTCCCATTCCCTGGGTTCGATGGTGGCTATCAACCATCTGTAACTCCAGTTCCAGGGTATCTGACACCTTCCTCTGACATCCTCAGGTATTTCACGACATGGGTGCACTTACAAACATGTAGGCAATACATTCATACACATAAAATAAAAATAATAAAATTTAAAAATGTGTGAGCTAAAGACAAAACTGTGAAAGTAAATACATATCAGGGAAGTTCTTGGTTTGCAGCATCTGCATTGATTGGAAAAAATCATGTGATTCCCGGTGTTGGAGAGCTATATTAGTCTATAATGTAACTTTAGATGCATTTTGTTTTAAGGGCTCTGTCTTTCTGGATAAAGACAATGAGAAATTTCTAAGTGTGGGGGACCCCACACACTTACTCATATCCAACACATCCACTGAAGATGCGGGCTATTACAGATGTGTTGCTACATTCACCCACAAGGGCAAGAAATTCAACATCACTAGGAATATTGAACTCCGTGTCAAAGGTACGTACTTACCATTGTAGTAGGGTCTTGCCTGGTTTAATAGGAAGCATGATAAGAATACATTTAGGTTCACCTACAAGCCCTTGAAGCTCTTTGGTATGAAGGGAAAGGAAAATGGATATGTCAACTATTCTGAAGACTAAAAAGATATGCACGAGATACTTTGAAAGGGATAAATCAGGATGTTATGAAGAAAAGAGACTGGATCCTTAGGCAGTTAAGTGATTCTTTGAAAAAGGTGAGGCTAAAACTCACCACTAGAGGGGGACAAACAATGCTCCAAGGAGATCCTCTTTGTTGAAGGCTGGGACATTCTGAGCTGGTGATAAGGACACAGTTGAATGTCTTTGTGTATAATTCTAGGGTACTAGGATTTTTACTGGTGTTTCAACCAAAAGGCCATGCATTGGCACATCCCCTGGAAATTGCCCTGTTTGTTTTCTTCCCTAAGATGTGTTTTTGATACTGGTTGAATGCTACTTACCTAAAAGCTTGAAACTAGAAAACTTTAAATTTTAAATTTTTTTCAAGTTTGGGATATTTTCATATACATAATGAGGCATCTTGGGAATGGGCCCAATTTTAAACATGAAATTAATTTGTGCTTCAAATAGAGCTTGTACATATAACTGGAAGGTGGTTTGATACAATGTTTTTATTTTATTATACTTTTTGAGACAGTGCCTCAGGCTATAGCTCAGGCTTCCCTCAGAGTGGCTCTTGGCCTAGCGGCTCGGGTTGGCCTCTAACCGGAACTCCTCCTTCTTTAGCCTCCCAGGGCTGGAATTACAGACACATGCCACCAGGATGGCTCTGCAGTATGTTAAATGAAGCAATGTTTCATAGTATGCACTTTTCCACTCACAGCATTATATTGGTACTCAATAGTTTTGGATTTTAGAGTGCTTCAGATTTTGACTTGCTGGAGTAGTGATGCTCAGCCAGGATCAACTACACTTGAAAATAATGTGGACAGGGTTCACCGGTTTAACTTTTAACATTTTTGCCATACCACCTATGTGCTGAATAGAAAGTTAGGTACAGTCTTGGAGTCTGCCCCAGAGAATATGCCATATTTATTTATTATGTGCCTATGTATTTCTTATTTCTTATGCATAGTTTGGAGTCTTTTAAGGGAACTTCAAAGTGCTTTGGAAACATTGGAGCTAAATAATTGTTCTGTGAGGGTAAAAAACTTTACTTATAGACCCCAGAGAGCCATTTGTATCATAGGAAAGATCGTATCTTCCATGAACTGAAACCTCTGAATTACATTCCTTTTCCTGTCCTGTGAGGATTCATTCATATTAACTCCTTGTTCCACCCCCAGCCCATCCCCCCAACCCGTCCCACCTCCCTGCAAGTAGCTGAAGATTTTCTTTTTACCTTTTAGCAGGCCACTGCCTTGTCTGTGTGCTGCACAGAAACACTAGGGGGCGGCAGACTTGCATGCTGTACTGTGTCGTGAAACCGTGCCCCCCGCCCCCCCGCCATAATTCTCAAATGGTTGGTGGTCCTGAGCCATCACTAGCAGCAGCAGCAGCAGCTGGATACTTGTTCCTTGTGTAGAATCTAAGGTTCCATGCAGATCAGCTAAACGGGAGCCAGGGGATTGTGTTGAAATTTGCATTTCACAAATCTGCCAGGCCATGCTGGTGCTACCGAAATGTCTTGTCCAGAGGCTGATTCCTCTACTTTGACTGCCCCAGCCTCTTTACCTTCCTTAGGGTGACCTTGAGGCACCCGAGTGGAGACATGCTTTGTTCTCTAGGCTGCACTGTCCTGTTAGACAGTGCTTATCTATGGGAGGAGTTTCCGTGCTTTTTAGCAGAAGAACTGAATCAGGAGGCTAGTTGAGGGAAAGTTCTGACCCTCCACTCACTCTCTGGCTTGCTTTCTTGCTCCAGTTCAGACATCCAGTTTCTTCAAACTGGTTCTAATCTCTTGAAAGCCCGCTTCAGTCTCACTAAACAGTTTATCTCCTTAGCCAGTTAGATTTTAGTGACCAAAACTGGGTGACTATTTCTTACCCAGTGTGAGATTATTTTTACAAACAGGGGACTCTCCAACCCCTGTGCCTGCGCCTGAAAAAAATGGATCTCCAGAGTTCTGTGGTGGGCATTTTGGAGGGGTAGGGAGACCTTTGGGCAAAGCCAAGCCTGTGAACATCATCAGTGTGCATTCAGGAAGCCTGAGAAAGGAAAAGCTAATTGTTTATCACAGAACAGATAACAAAGACCGTCTGTCAGAGGAATGTGTAAATGTGGCTTCTTCCAGGAATATCTTTGCCGGGAAATGCATTGGCCTAAGATGCTCAATTTTGTGGAGAGCACACTTCCTTTGCCAGACAAAGGCTGATTCTCACAATGACTGGCCACATGGGGGAGGATCGCTTAATTGGCTAAACAATGGAATCTGACTCTTGGCTCCAATTGAAGACTTCCCTAATGTAATCCGTTTTCCTTATTACTTTCTCAGAAACAACCATGGAATCCATTCCTGTGATTATTTCTCCCCTAGAGACGATACCAGCATCTCTGGGTAAGACTTGCAGGGGCATGCAGCCTATACATCATAATGGTCATGATGACTGAAATCTAAGCATCAGGGGCTCAGAGACCGGAGTCTGTAGACCACACCAGTCTTGTTTCTTTGGGTACAGAGTTGCCTGAGTGGATACCCTAGAACCTCAGTGTGAGGGGCTGACATGACCAATGCAAGGGAATATTTGTCCTTGCCCAGTATTGTTAGGGATGACGTTATTTGAAAGCAAGAATATTTTGCTTTATGGAGACCATACCTACAAAAATTTAAATGCAATAAGGCAAATATTTTGATAACAGTTACTAACTCTAGGAAAGGATCAATAGTGTGAATTCCTTGCATAGCCAGCATCTTTAGTAGCTTTAACTTAATTCATGTTACTAAAATTTGGCTGGTGCTTAGAATCTCTTTAAGATTCTATTTGTCCAGCAAAGCTAGAAGTGACTACAGACAGTATCTTGTTATCAAAATAGCTGGTAAACTCACTGAATGATATAATAAAAAGGGTTTTCTATTAAAAAATTTTTTGACAAGGGTCTCCCTAGTCCCAGCCACCTGGAACTCACTATCTAGACCAGTTGGACTTGATCTCACAGAGATCCACCTACCTCTGCCTCCTGAGGGCTGGATTAAAAGGGGCATGCCACCATGCCTGGCGAGTTTTCCATTTTTCACCCCAAGTTGATGCAGGCTGTCTTGACCAGTGTCCTTATTGGTCAATAGTAGTGGCCAGTGAAGGTATTTAGTGAACTGTACAAACCACTCTCTGATGTTCATGGTGGGGAAAAGATGGTCATCTATGGAGCATATACTGTATCTAATGGAAGCCCTTTCCATCCCAATACCAACATGGTAGGAAGGTTTTATTTCTACTATTTCCACAAGGAAAAAATCACCTAGGGAGTTATAGGAACATAGTGAAGACCAAGAAGTCATGTTTAGGGTCAGGTAGTGCTGTAGATTCAGGTCTGCATGCCTGGGAAGCCTATACTTAGACTTTTGTGTGCCGTTTTTATGGAATGATTTTGTATCTCTGTTCTAGTTTGTTTCTCCATTGCTGTGACAAAACACTCTGACCAATACCAACTTGGGGAGGAAAGGGTTTATTTAGCTTCCATTTCCTGAGTAACACAGTTCATCACTAAGGGAGCCCAAGGTAGGAACTCAGGGCATGAACTTGGAGGCAGGAGCTGGATGGAGCACAGGCCATGGAGGAATGCTGCTTACTGTCTTGCTCCCCTAGCACCTGCTCAACCTGCTTTCAATATAGGCCCACCTGCCCATGGGTGGCACCACCCACAGTGGGTTGGGCCCTCCCACATCACTCAGTAATTAAGAAGATGCCCCACAGACATGGCCACAGGCCAGTCCAATGGAGGCAATTCACCAGTTGAGACTCCCTTTACCAGGTGTGTCAAGTTGACAGCTAATGCTATCTGGTACAATCTGTAATGTTCTTTCTTCAAGGCCTGGCTACAGCGTCCTTTTTAAAACAAAATTTATTATTATTATTATAGTTATTTCTGCTTGGTATTAAATTTAAGTGCTAAAGTTTAGTTGGAGGCCATAGAGGTGGAAGGCTTTTGTTCAGATGTTGGAATTGGTTGAAGCCCACGAGTCCACTTTGGCTCTATGACCAGCTAGCTATTAAGCCAGAGCACTAAGTGACACAGTGGTTGGTGATGCCTAGATCCCAGTGCCCTGGATCTTAGGTACCCCCACAGCAGAGTAGAACCCAGTTCTTAATCGGTTATTTTGAATACATGATGGAGTCACATGGCCATTCGTTTCCTCCATTGTAATGGGCTGCTGTCACTGGGAGAAATGTTAAGGTCATAGGGTTACAAAGGACAGAGAAGAGCTGGTATTCTGAAGGTGAAGCGGGGCCAGGTGCCTTAATAGATAAACTGCAGGAGGTATATTCCCAGGAAGAAGAAATGAGCAGATAGGATTTTTCTTTTCCATCTTCTCCTCTTTGGTGACTTACAAAGAAAATAACTAACTGTGATTGAGACAAGGGGCCTGGCACCATCGTATTGCACAGCTGTAGAGGGCACTGTCCTTAGACTATGCAGTTGGCTTTTAAAGGGTTCATTCTAAACTTGAGCTCTCTTAGAATGGAGAATTCCCAGGGGGAAGTGTTAGGCCTGAGGTTAGTAACAGGCCTAAAGAAAGAATCACACATGGTCTGGATTGTTTTTTTTTTGAAGTAGCTAGAATCAAGTGTGGAAGAAGGGAGCTTGAGTTCAGAATGCTCCATAGGAGCCGAATGGCCTTAATGAAACTGTTCAAGTTCATGTGCTTTTGGGTTTTACCTGCTGCAAAGAAGGGTAGAAGGTGCTGAAGGCAGTTGGTAAGAAATGTTAACTATTCCTTGAACAGAATCATTTGAGGAGGCTATATTTCCCTCTGCGGAAAGGACTGGCTTGTGGGGGGTGTTTGAGAAGATGAGGAGGGCTCCATGGTGGGAGATTGCTGAGGGATGTGAGGAGCAGAGATGATTCTTTTCCCATGCTGGGTTCTGATGGTCCATGTGTTATATCTTGCTACACACAGGGTCAAGACTGATAGTCCCGTGTAAGGTGTTTCTGGGAACTGGCACACCCTCAAACACCATTGTGTGGTGGATGGCTAACAGCACTTTTATCTCATCTGCCTACCCAGAAGGCCGTGTGACTGAAGGGCTACACCAGTAAGTGGGTGAGGGTCTTCTGTTGTGGTGCATCTTTAGGTTTCATTTTCCTCTGGAGACCTGTTGACAGGACGCAACACCACAAAAATGACATTTTCCCTATTCAAAACCATTGGACTTTTAGGACTATAAAATTGAATTTTGCTAAAAATTCTCCTGAGAGCCAAACATTTTCTAGACATGAATGAGTTGAGTCGTGGTTGACCAGTTGACTTTTTAAATTTTATTTCTTGATTTTTGCAGACTTAAAAATATTTTGGAGTTGCTGGGCATGATGGCGTATGCCTTTAATCCCAGCACTCAGGAGGCAGAGGCAGGCAGATCTCTGTGAGTTCAGGGCCAGCCTGGTCTACATAGTGAGTTCCAGGTTAGCTGGAGCTACAGGGAGACTCTCAAAAAGACCCAAAAAATATTTTGGAGTTTTTATACTTTTACTCCCTATTGTCATGTCACTGAAAGATATTCATAAACCCTCATAAAGATTCTGAGACTAACCACAATATCTGTACTAGACCTCCTGGGGGGAGGGGGGGAGAGAGAGAGAGAGAGAGAAAGGGAGGAAGAGACACAAAAAGAATATTAATTTTGGCACGCATTAATCTCTTAGAAATGTTTTTGTATTCTGAAACTTGAAAGGAAAGGAAACTAAAATTGGTTCCAATTTTTACTGTTTTTAAGATAGTAGCTCTGATACTTTGAATTAGCCTTAACTCTTTCTTACCAGTCTTTTGCATTTTTGGAAATATGAAAAAAAAAAAAGTTCCTTATGGTGTCATTTGGTTGATAAACACGATGGATGAAAACGGTATGCAGTGTAATTGTTTACTCTCAGGTCTTTGTGGTAAAAGACTTGGTCACAAGTACATGTCCAGTGTCAGTGCACTCACACTGTTCATTTACTTAAAGGGACTTTTTTATTTTTGAGTCAGGGTCTTCTTGTAGCCCCAGGTGGCCTGAAACTCACCATGTAAATCTGGCTTGCCTCCATCTCACAGAGATCTGCCTGCTGCTACCTCCCAAGTGCTAGAATTAAAGGTGCCAGAGTTCTAGAAACTTCCTCTGTATCAACATGTGAACAATTTATTGATGAGAAAGTCAAGTGGCCCAAATTAGATGTTTCCGCTGCCACTTGATTATTGAAGGATTTTATTTTTTTGTTAGTCCTTTAAAAATGAAAATTTCCATCCAAATCAAAATGAGAAGTTATGCTTTCATTGTAACAAATGTCCTAATGTAACAAATAACATCTTCACTGACAGGATGACTTCCAGGCACAGGCTAGATATTCTCCCAAATAAGCAGCAAATATGTTGGCAAATTCTCCCAACTTTTCAGAACTCAAGGAAAGTTTAAACACAACTGTTTCTAATTTGAGACTGTTTGTCTGCCTACCTTATAAAAGACAAGCTTGTATTTGATAGATCATGTTTGAGAGAATATTTTTTTTCATGCAGCCAATATTTAGAAAATGAGGAAAATTATGTTGAAGTGTCACTGATTTTTGATCCAGTCACAAGGGAAGATCTGAACACAGATTTTAAATGTGTTGCTACAAATCCACGGAGTTTTCAGTCACTTCATACCACAGTCAAAGAAGGTATGTATTTTGGAAACACTGAAAGGAAAAACAACTTGCTAAATGCTCTGCAGATGCAGGACAGAACTACATGTTGTGCAGATGATTCCTTAGTAGGGCACTGGATGGAAATCTCTCGTGTGTGTGTGTGTGTGTGTGTGTGTGTGTGTGTGTGTGTTATATACCCATTCATGTGGATGTGCATGTGTACATGCAGATATGCATGCACATGTGTGTACATGAGTGTGGAGGCCAGAGGTGGATGTTGGATGTCTTCCTCAATTGGTCTCCACCTTATTTTTTTTAGATAGGGTCTCTCACTGAAGCTGGAGCACATTGATTTGGCTAGAGTGGTTGGCCAATGAACTCCAGGGATCTGCCTGTCTCCACCTCACCCCAGTGATGGGGTTATAATTGTCACCACTGTGCTTGGCTTTTACATGGGTGCTGGGAATCCAAATTTAGGTCTTCGAGCTCTCACAGCAGACACTTTACTGACTGAGTCATTTTTCCAACCCCAAACTTTTTTTTGCAGTTATATGTATGGATGATGTGCATATTCATAAGTATATGTGAGTACATGTGCACATTTGTGTGCATGTGGAGGCCAGAACTGAACTAGAGTGTGTTCCTCAACCACTCTCCACATTACTTACTGAGGCATGAACTCTCACCTGAACTCAGCTCATTGATCCTGCTAGTCGAGCTATCCAGCCAGCCCAGAGATTCTCCACCTCCTGAGTGCTGAGATGATAGGCAGGCTGCAGCACCCACCTGGCATGTAGGTGGCTGCTGGGGATCTGGACTTTGGTCCTCGTGCTTGCACAGGCAAGCATTTTATCCACTCAGCTATTGCCCTAACCTCCTAAATAGAAAACCCATAGAACGGCTCTGTGATGAACTTCTAAATACCTCAAATCCTCGTATGGCTCTGCCTTGGATCGCTGGGATCTGATGACCTTATGTGGCCTCTAGAAGGGGATGGATCATTCTTTAAGTTGAAAAGCTCTATTCTTCAAAAGATAGGAACTGGGGGTTCAGGGCAGCTTTAAGGTCAAAACCATTAAGCAACAGGAAGTAAATGTAGTGTTCGCTAAGGAACATTTTAAAAGGAAAAAAATAAAACAAACCCAATGCTATCATTTCTGAGCCAATCAATTTATTCTCTATTAAAATGTTGAGCAGGAAAGCAAGGTATAGTTAATGTAGGAGAACACACCTGAGTTCATCTCTGGCCTCTAAACACACACAGGTGAGTGCACCCTCCAATACACAAATGTAGAATCCTACATGCCTGTAACCCCAGTCTTTGAAAGCCTGAATAAGGGAATCAAGAGTTTGAGGTCAGCCTGGACTACAGGTGTTATAAAAAAAAAAAAAAAAAAAAAAAAAAAGTGGAAATCCACATCAACAAGGTATCTACCTGATAACACTGTCTTCATATTTACTTTTCAATACATATTCACAACCTCTTCCTCCATTTCTATACCAGAGCTGTCCAGGAATTGAATATACAATAGCTTAATCCAAGCAACAACTTTGGCATTCAAGGTCTTTGACTCTTTGTTTTCTTTGTTTAATCCTCATGACCCCCATGCTCACTGGCAGAGGGCAGGTTGTTCCTGGCATGTCACTAACAGCAAACAGAGATGTAACACCATCTTATATACACTGTGCACAGCTGGAACAGTTAGTCTTTTAGGCCCTACCCCCTCCCTACCTTGTGATGTTCTTTAATCAGATCAGATTTTGTCCTGCCGTAGTTGTTTCTCCAGTGTCACAGACGTCATTCTTAATGGCCTTGACTTTGATATAAGGAAACAGCTTTCTGGAAATCAGTGCTCATTTATCAGGGCAAACAAACTCTGATTTGTTTTTTTCTCTGTAAATGAGAACTGCCCTGCCCTCTTTTGTAGTCAACGACTCCAGTTCACAGTCCTCTCTTTTCTCCACAGTCTCTTCCACATTCTCCTGGGGCATCGCACTAGCCCCCCTGTCTCTGGTCTTCCTGGTTTTAGGGGGAATATGGATGCACAGACGATGTCAATACAGAATTGGAAAAACATATGGTCTGACCAAGCTACCAACTGACCACCAGGACTTTCCAGCCCACCCAAGTCAAATAAAGGAAATGAAATAACGTGAACCTAATCTGGGTCCTTTCTTTTGGAGGTAGCTGTGCTGTTTGCAGGGATTCTGGTGTTTCCTCAATTGTTTAGCATGCCCCCCCCCATTTGCAGCAGAAGATTCTAGTCTTATGATCCATATTTCTCTGAAAACTAGTGCCAGGAGCAAATGTGCAGGTGAGTTTGAGCAGCTCTGCACTTGGGATCCACCTAGGAGAACAAGGTGGGTAGAAGTGAGTTCAGTGGTACAGCTCCTGTCTAGTTCGTGTGAGGCTCTGAGTTTGATCCCCAGCACAGCAACCCCCTCCCCCTCAAACCCCAACAATCAGTTGCCTTTAGTCATGAATAGAGGTGAAAAATCTCCAAAGAACTTTGGCAATTCATTCCAGTCTCTCAATAAAAGTGTACTAGAAGTCTGTTTGAATATAGAGATGCTTAAGACATAGCTTGCCTTTTGGAAAGGGGAGTTTTATTTTGATCCTGGAAAGAATGATTTATAAATGTCAAAGTAGAAAAATCAGCAAGACTGGAAAATTATTTGTGAAGAGTGATTAAAAAGTTAGCAACGAAGATAGAGTTAGGACCATGGAAAAAGGAGCACACTGGAACATATTAGTGAATGGAAAATAGATTTACTTCGTGAAGCACCTCTGAATATACAGAGAAAGGAGGGGGACTGAGACAGCTGTAGACAAATTGGGAAAATAATCAGAGCCTCTTTTATTTAATACACACACAGAAAAATCCAGGGGAATAAATGGGTTGAAGTAAAATTAGGTTAATTAACATGGCTCACTCCTCCTCCTATTTAGACACTTGTTCAAATGTCATTTACACAAAGGCCTTTCTGAACATCATGTCCCATCATAGCTTTCTTATCACCAGAGCTTCTATTATAGATTTACTGTCTGTGTTTCCCATGGAGGGGGAGCTATGAGGAAAGAGATGCCCCTTTGATGAGAGTTGTACTCTTAGAACTTTGAGCTAGCTATTTAATGAGTATTTTAGAATCAATGAAAACAGGACAACTTCTCTCATGTTCACTGCCAATAAGAAAATTCTAAGAGTAAAGACTGAGAAACTTAATCACATAACAATTTCCCCATCGTAAAATACTAAAAACCTAATTTGAATGAAATTATATCAATCAAGATCAGCAAATTAATAATGAACATGTAGAGTCATTTAAACTTTAAGGTTACTTAGGTTGTGGGCATCATTCTTAGTCCATTTGGGTACTGCAAAAAATGCCATCAATTGGGGGATTTATAAACTATGAAAATTCATTTCTTAAAGTTCTGGAAGTTGAGAAGTCCAAGATCAAGACACTGGTGCTCCCTGGTTCACAACATGATCACATTCTAAGGGTCCCACATTTCAACACCTTTCCATTGAGGGTTAAGATTTCAACACAGAAATGTCAGGAAGACACAGTCTAGCAGCACCCACACCCTCACAGATGTGAGGACAGGAGGGCCTAATTATTGTTTGAGGCTTGCTTTTAGAGGCTCAAGAGAAGGAGGAATTTGCTTATTAGGGGCATAGTTTGAGGGTTCTCTATTTTGATTAGCAGATTTGTTTGTAAAACCATTTCTCTACTATGCATGTCCCTTCCCATAATGTATCTGATTTTAATTATATGTGCACCCAATTATGCATAGGCATAGGATGTAAATAGGGGATTCACCCTAAAAGTTCATTTGGGGACAGTTTTGTCTTTTGCACACACATCCAAAACCAGTCTAGGCTGGATTGACCCTTCATGCCCAGACCTAAGTGGAGTAAGACTGAATATAGTCTAAGTTTGATGGTTGTTAAGGAAGGAGAAACTTACTCTGTTGTTTGAAGTGGGGTGTGTGCACAGCCCGAGCCAAGTGGAGTCCCAGGCTGCTAATCTACTCCCTGTGCCTGCCTGCCTCAGTTACAGTAATATTAAACTCCATATCTAGACAAAGATGAATGTTCGAAATAAGGAATTGAAAGAGAGCTATTTGGGTTCAATTTTAAGAAGCAGCTTGTGTTGCCTTTGTGATTTGGGGCAAGTCCTTTAATCTCACAACATATCCATTTTCTCATTTGAAAAATGAAAATAATAAAAGAAACTATGTTATCTATTTGATATGCTTTGTATTTTATCTTTTCATTTTTATAATTTAAAAATAGTAAACTACCTAATAACCAAAACCAGGAAGCATCAATAGAAATAAAAATAGCTGCTTTGCTTAGATTGAACACAGGTAAACCACAGCCTAAAGGCCAACTCCAGTCTGCTATTTGTTTCTAAACATTACTTGTTATTGTAACACAGCAGTGCCCGCAGGTTTATATATCATCATTGGCTGCCTTTGCTTTCAGAGTGCAGAGTAACTGAAACAGAAAAGCCCAAGATATTTACTGTCTGGCCCTTCTGAGAGAAAGCTTATTAACACTTGATTTTGATCAAGGAGTCCAGGGGCAATTAAAAAATTAAATTTATTTTTATTGTAAGTGTATAAGTGCACCCATGTTATGCAGTGCCCAAGGAGGCCAGAAGAGGGTGTTGAATTCCTTGAAACTGGAGTTGTGGGCAGTTGTGAACTGCCATGTGGTTCTGGGAACAGAACCTGGTCCTCCGCAAGAGGAGACAGTGCTCTTAACCTCTGAGATGTCTCTCCAGCCCCAAGGGGGCAATTTTTGATTTTGATTTTTTGTATTTTCCTGTGTTGTCTCCTCTTCCTTATCCTCCTATTTTCTAAGCCTGTGAGGAGGGAAAAAAGTCAGAAGAGGAGGCAGAGCTCTTAGAGCGTCTAGCCATGGCTTTCCCCAGGCAGAGCACAAGGCTCCAGATGGAAGAACTAGTGTGACATTGCAAGCTGCCGAAGCACCTGGGGCTCCATGTGGCCTCAACACTCTCTTCAGTTCCCTGGAGTTCCCACACTGCAGAGTTTGGAAGATTCAATAATGATCTCCCCCCCACAAAAAAACCACCTGATTGCAGCTAGAAGGAATTGGCATCGCCCACCGTTCCTCAGCCTCACTTTGCCCTCACCACATTTTCTGAAACGCCAGAAGTTTGTGAGGCAGGAGTTTTGAACAACGTATGCTCATGTTAAGGAATAAGTGTGATATTGAGACTGTACATTAAAAAAAAACAAGAGTTAGTATCTTTCGAAGAGACATGTGGAGTTATTTGTGGGTTGGTGTCTTAGGCAGAAGAGTAAATGATACAAGATTGGCCACGTGTTGACAATTTTTGGGACCAGTGCTAACTACCCTGACTTCTCTGCGCCATTTTCTCTGTTCTGTGTATGTCTGAAAGTTTCCATAATGAAGACTAAAACGCAAGATAAAAACAACCTAGATATTCACTAGGCAAGGAATATGAGCAGTAAATAACATGGCGGATCTACACAGTGGTAAAAGAAATAAGCTGCTGCAATAATTAAATTACATGCAACCGTATGATTGAATGTAAGAAGCATGTGAATGAGGGAAGAAATTCAAGAAAGGTTTCCACACAACGTGTTCTTAGAAGTATGTGAGAGAAGTGGCATGTTTACATATAGCTTGACATCTGCCCTTCTACAGAAAGTGAAAAACAAACAACTTTCTCTTTCTATGTTGGTACACACACACACAAGCACAAACACATGTTTGTACTTAGAATACGGTTTTGTTATGCATATACTCTTAAATAGAAACGTGTGTACATGGATTGTGTCAGGCAGCAGGTTGGGGACCAGGGGCAGGAGGATGTCAGTTTCATCAAATTCCTGCTCTCATGTTGGGTAGCAGATTGTTATTTTTTAACTTATTAAATAAAAAAATTATAAAACAGTATTCAAGGATCAATGAAAAATGTGTGTGGTGAATGAAAAGTCATGGCAGCCTAAGTTTGTGCCCTTGAATCCAAATTAAACATATATGTAAACCAACACGTTGATTTCTTTCTGCAGTGTGACTGATCTCACGAATCTTCGGTTGATTCTGTTGTTTCAACTTTTGGAAGGTGGATTTTTCATAGTTCTTCAATGAAGGAGGTGGGTCAGGAGGTAAATGGTGCTTGGGAACGTCACACTTTCATGCACTGCCTATGTGAAAACAGCAAACCCCATGTAACAAGACGCCATCTCCCCAAGAAGTAACTGAGGATAACAGCAGGCATCAGCAATGGGCAATGGTCTAGTCTCATTCCGTTGCTGTGATAAAAATACTCTGACCAAAAGCAGCTTAGGGGAGGAAAGGATTCATTTGATTGATACTTCCAGGTCACAGTCCATTACTGAGGGATATGAGGACAGGAACTCAAGCAGGAGCTGGAAGCAGAAATCATGGAGGAACACTGCTTACTGGCCCACTCATAGGCTCATGCTCAACTGGCTTTCTTATACAGTCCAGGACCACCTGCTGTGGAGTAGCTCTACCCACAATGGGCTCTCCTACATCAATTAATAATCAAGACAATCCCCCACAGATATGCCCATAGATGAATCTGTACTGAGAAATCCCTCAATTGAGACTCTCTTCTTAGAGGACTCTAAGCTGTGTCAAGCTGACAGTTAAAGCTAAGGAGAACGGACACAAGTGATTTATGCAGCAAAAGGTAGATCTGATGTCTCAAGAATTTCAAATGCTTAAGGGAATTCAGAGGTGTTCTTACAAGGAAAGGACAGCGATTTTTAGTCTGTAGGTGGGAACGTTTTTGGTCACGGATGCATTCTCAGCACCTGGAAGAGTGCCTTGCCATGTTGTAGGCATTTATGAAGTGTCTCTGTGACATGGATAAACTGTTCCTACCCTAAGCTCGTGCTAGCTTTTGCCCTGACCTTCTACCAGCAGCTCACTTGGACACACAGATGCTCCTCGTGTTTCTGCGTTTGTTTTCCCGAATGTGTGGTCTCTACCCCTGGGCATCTGCTGACCATGCTGCTTCCTCAGGACTACTTGTTATTGTTACTGGGATCCAACATATCACTGTCAGCCCCAAAGGACATAGCCTTCGGGTGTCCAGAGAACAAACTGTCCATCTGCCACCCTGGGCTGCAG